GAAGAGGGGGAGCTGGGGCGGCGGCGGGGCGGGGCCGGCCGGCGGGGGCTCCGGTGGGCGCGGCCTGATGAGGGCCAGTGGGGGCTCCCCGAGGGCCTCGGCGCTGCAGCCGTGGTGTGCAGTCCCGCCAATGCGCGCACTGGGGTGCTCCCGTGAACCTGCGTGACGACAGCGCGCCCTCGGGAAGGAGCCAGGGTCCAAGCCCCTCTGCTTTCCTTCAACAGGTCCGGAGGAGCGGGACCTGCCTGCGCAGACCGAGCCGGCCACTGGGCCGACCTCTAGGCCGTGTCCATCGGAGCCCCGGCGCCAGGGTGAGGAGCACTGAGGGGGGCCCGGCGGGGCAGGGGAACCCTGGCGTCGAGCAACAGCGCCACACGGAAGGCCGCTCCCGACCGCAGCTTCCAAGTGCAATCGTCCTGGCTGGGGACTCCAGTCTGCGAGCAGAAGCTCTTGCCTCAGCCCTGGCTCTCGCCTCCCTCTGCTCACTGTCCGCCCCTCTCCCTGCCCCGATTGTACATGGGCCTGATGTCCTCGGAGCCCATGGACTCCACACTACCATATGGCACGCCCCTATGCGAGACAGCTCTGGCATTTCATCGGGCACAGCTTGCCCAGAATGCCCCGTCTGGCAGGCATTTCCCAACTAAGAGGGGCGCCCTGCACCTCCTGGAGCCCGCTTCCGCCGTGGTGGGGCACAGCCCCAAGGGCTGCAGCCTGGGCCCCACTGCCTCCTGCAAGCACAGCTCCATCTGAGCATCGGTGCATCAGGCCTGGCTGCTGACCTTGCCCTTCTCTCCACAGGCAGCGCTAGCACGCAGGGCCCAGTCCGCGGACTCTCTGGAGCACTCGGAAGCAGGGGAGGTCAGCGCGTTGTGGGGGGCCTTGTAGACTGGGGGAGCCTTGCCAGGAAACCCGTCCATCAGCAGAGAGCCCTCAGCTGTCCTGGGAAGCTGGGGTGGGGGGCAGCCGCTGGGACAAGCACTGAGGGTGCTCTCGCCCCTTTTGCATCGCAGGCTGTGCCACCGTGGGACGCCGCTGCCTTCCTGCTCGGCACTGGCCGGAGTTCTGTCCATCCCGCAGCACCCCTGAGCGCATCGCTGCTGAGCGCTAGATCCAGCCGGCCAAAGAGGGCACCATGGCTGTGCAGCTGTTACAGGACTGGTGCAAGGGGATGGATATGGACCCCAAGAAGGCCCTGCTGATCGTGGGCATCCCTGTGCAGTGCAGCGAGGCTGAAATCAAGGAGACTTTGAGAGCGGGCCTGCACCTGCTGAGCACGTACAGGTTGGTCGGCAGAATTTTCAGGAGGGAGGACAATGCGAAGGCCATCTTGATTCAGCTGGCTGACCCTGTTCACTATCCCGTGATACCCAGTTGCGTAGCAGGCACGGGGGGAGCCTGGGAGGTGGTGGCCCAACCCCGGAGCTCAGATGAAGAGTTTCTCAGTAGGCTGAAGTACTTCCTGAAGGATGAGGGCCGGAGAATGGAAGACGTGGCTCGCAGCCTGGGCTTTAGTGCCCTCTCTGGGGAGGACGTGGGCGCAGGGCCTGTGGGAGAGAAGCCCCGGAGAGAAGCCGGGTGGTACCGGAAACCGAAAGTGTTTTCCGGAAGTCCTAGCCCGGGCCCAGGCGAAGAGGCCTTCGAGGCCTGGCTGGAGCAGGCCACTGAGCTGCTGCAGCTGTGGCAGGTGTCAGAGGCAGAGAAGCTCAGGCGCCTGCTGGAGAGCCTGCGGGGCCCGGCGCTGTCCGCCGTGCGTGTGCTCCGGGCCCAGAACCACTCCATCTCGGTGGGGCAGTGCCTGGACGCCCTGAGGGAGATCTACGGCAGCAGGGAGCACCCTGAAACCGAGAAGTCCATGTTTCTCCAGACGTGTCAGACGTCTGAAGAAACGGTGTGCGCTTTCTTGCTGCGCATAGAGCCCCTGCTGCAGAAAGTGGCGCGGCACAGCCCATTTTTAGGCCAGAGCACGGACTCGGTTCGCCTCAAACATGTGCTGACTCGGGCCTCGATGCCCGCTGCCTTCCGGAGCAAGCTAGAACTGTTAGATCAGCAGGGGAGCCCGCCCACTTTCCTGGAGTTGGTGAAGCTCGTTCGAGAGCAGGAGGCCTGGGAGAACACTGAGGCCAGGAAGAGGGAGAAGCAGAAGCAAGAGGAGAGGAGCCTCAGGGCTTCGGGCAGACAGGAGGAAGCTCAGGCCGGTGGCCCCGTGGCTCAGGGCCCGGCGCTGGAGGAGCCCGTTGCCACTGCAAGAAGTGACCTCGCTGAGAGCCGTGCCCAGATCATGCGGAGAGGGATCCGATCAACCAGGAAGCGCCCACGGCTGCTGAGCACCCAGGACAAGGGGGAAGACAGCCACTCCAGGTGCGCGGGGCTGTGGCTTGAAGGCAGGGCCGGCATAGGAGAGGAATCGGGAAACGGGAGAAGGGCTGGGGCCTCGAGCCTGCCCAAGCCCTAGGCAGCCCAGGCTCAGCGTGTGCCTGTGCGGCTCACCCTGGCCCGCAGCACCAGTCTTCTCCAGGGCAGGGATGTGTCGAGACCACCACAGGCAGTAGCAGCAGCAGCAGAACCAGCACCAGCAGTAGCAGCAGCAACACCAGCAGCGCCAGCACCAGGAGCACCAGCACCAGGAGCACCAGCCCCGGCCCCAGCCGCCACAGCAGAAGCCCGGATCTGCGCTGAGGGGCAGGGCATCCAGCCACAGGATCAACCTCGGCCCCTGCCACCTCACCGTCCTGGAACAGGGAGGGCCTCCCTCGCAGGGGATCAAAATGGCCCTAGCTTGTGCTTTCTACAAGCACATCTAAGCTTGTCCTTGTGCGGTGTGTGTCTCCTCTGAGCTGGTCCTCCCGAGCCCAGGCCCTGGAGAAGGAGGGAAGAGCGGACCACAGCACAGACGCCCTGCAACCATGAAAAGGATCAGGACATCTCTGCCCAGGAGGAGCTGTGCCGGGCCGGGGCCTGCAACGTTGGACAGGTGGCACGGGGCCGGGGATGCAGGGAGAGGGCTGGGGCCCTTCTTTGATGTTCTCCCATGCTGCGTGTAACTGAGGTTCTTCGGTGTTCTCGGCATTGACCTGATGTCTGTAAACTGACTCCTGTCTTTCCTGTGCGGGCCATAAGGCAGGGCCTCCTGGGCATGGATGCCTCACGTGACTGCGCCTTGCCGGGTATCACAGACCCTGTGAGAGGCAGACCCGGGTCCCGCAGGCATGGGGCAGATGAGGCAGAGCCGAGCAGGCTGGGAAGTTCAGCTGTTAGAGGACTGGCGCTCTTCTTTGTTCAGTGGTTCAATCAAAGTGTTCTTCAATAAATTTCATGAGCCATATTGCGTCTCAGGTGTGGGCAAGTGAGGGAGGGGGCAGCAGCTAGGGTGGGGGTGGGGAGGCCAGGGCTGCGATAGAGGCCTCAGCACGCGGGTGAGGAACTAGGGCCCCAGAGGGCTATGCAGTACTCTTGCTTGGCCCGAGCCCAGCAACAGGCCGATGGTGGGCGTGGTGCCACTGGGGAACCTGGGAACCCGGGCATGAGGAGTCAGGCATGGAAGTGGGGGCACGTGG